TTTTGACACAGATGACGTACCATTTGCCATGCAATCTTCTAAATGAATAAAACACCACCATAAACAGCATCAGTAATTTAAATTAAAAAACTCGAGATCCGTGCAGGAGTAACCTGCAGAAGGTGACTGTATCCTTGGCCAAAAGCATTGCCTCTCCCTGCCCAACACTCTCCTTGAGAAATCCAAGCAGCGTCTTAAAGGCTGTACTTCTACGCGTTCACGAGAAAGCATAATAGAGACTGCTACACGCTTGACTTTTCGTATTTCAAATAGAATTTCTTTAAGTAAATCGCTTTCGCTTAAATAGCCGTATGTAGCGCAGTAGAGTTCAATGCTGTACTAACAAAAAAGTCAAGTAGAGACTTGGACAATTCTGCTGGCTTTCTGAAAAGCGCATACAATCTGCAAAATAAAAGGCCAAGCTTCCAGCTAAAGAAGAGATTTTAAACAATTACCAAAGCAGGATAGTGATATCATAAAGGCAATTTCTGCGCTAGCTTGTTTTCTGAAACTCTCTTTGCCTCGGAACAGCTAGAACAGATAATAACTATTAGTAAATCAAACTCCTGCAATATCCAGCTGTGTCTCACGCATTTACATACAGATAGAATGGGTATATGTTTTTAATATGTATGCGATACGTACTTTTACCACAGCTGAAGTGCATGCTACAAAGGAGGAGGAGAATGGGAATGGAATCAGCATGAGATAATAAAGTGGCCTAGATAAAGTATTAGCCAGCGATTGATCTCAAACAGGGGATGTTGCTTCTCTCTGACCTGATTACTTACTATGCATAGATTCCATTAAATAGAGCTTAGAATGGAAAGCTGCTGAAAAATACCGTAAATACAGTCAGACCTACAGCTTCCTGAGCCCGACCAGCCCGCGGATGCCTGCCCGTACACACGGCACGAGGCAGGAGTTCAAACCTCACCTGTGCTGCCACGGCACGCTCATTAAATACACGTGCATGAAACGGTGCCAGAAAACTCCACGGTTTAAACCAAGACAGGAAGTTCAGGGGGAAGAAAAATAAAAAATAAATCTTGATACCAAAGGACTGATAGGCTTTTCCTTTTCCCTTTGGAAAATGAGAGAAGAGAGACAGATGAATAGGCTAAGATGTGTGGGCTTCTCTGGTGCTGAAACGGGAGTACGTTCAATTTAATCGACTGTATGCCTTTCTCTTCTTAAAGAGGGAACAAAGTGGAGACAAAAGAGCAGACACTGTAAGCACAAGGTTCAGGATAACCACCGGTGAACTATGAGGAGTGGTCCTTTCCCTGGATGGACAATTTTCCCATTGCTCAGTGAAATCATTGTTTTCCCTCCTGTGGAAAAAGTCTGTTAATTTAGAAGACTTTGAAACAATTAAATCGTTGACTGAGTACACAGAGAGAAACCAATGCGACATCTCATTTTGTGGATGGGTGTATGGAAGAATGGGTACAGTGACCAAGTATAAATATGTATGCCAGCTCTTACAGAAATCTGACGTTCGCTTGCACAAGAATATCTACGGTAGTGAAAAGCCTGACTTTATACAGGAATTTCATACAACCTTGGCTTTGGCCCTATTTTCTGACAAAATATGCATAGTGACTTTTATAAAAAAGGGCTCCCTAACATGATAGACGGGGTAAATCCATCCCTGATGTAACCCCGTGACTTCGCCGGAGTTGCCAATCTGGCACTCCAGGTATTGTTAGTCGGCTCTTAAAGTGCATTTAACAATTCACCGATTATCAGGAGAGTAGAAAAAGATTGACGTTCTGCTCCTTTCATTTTGCTTTCAGTCTTTAATTATACTAAACTGGTTACAAAATAGTGACTTCCAGTACGGTTAAGGTCCATAGGGGAGAAAGCCTGCACTCCACTGTTTTGTCTGAACCGAACAATTATCACATGTTACACCTTTCATCCTTGCTAGTATATTTCTTCTAAATAAAAAAAAATAAAATAAAAACCCCCCACAAAACCCAAAGAACAAGGTGAGATCCTGCTCTCATTTAAATCAACGCTGAGCTGACCTTGACAAGTCTGTGATTTCACTGATAGTACCTGCATCACTCAGGTAACAAGGAGATATCCATCAGAACTACAACAGAGGTTTCAGAAACCGACGGTGTGGAATTAGAAGGATGTTGTGGTGAGCAACTCTAGAATTGAGATGGGATTTTACAGCTTTTGTTCTGGTCCTGTTTTCCAAAAAAGTATGGTGATTTATACACACCTATGTACCTGTACACTGTGTGCATTACAGATACACTATGCTAATGTATGTATACGCGTACAAGTTTTGCAAATAAAGTGCTCCTTGACAAGACTGGGTAAGTGAAGGGCTTGACCGGCTGAGCAACCAGAGAGCTGTCAGCGAGTCTGTTACAGAAAAGCACGGGCTGCTCCGAGTCCATCGGCCCGGAGGAGGGAATTTAGGGCAGCTTACAGGGACAGTCGCATCGCAGGCAAGGACTGGGTCACTTCATTATTTCAGCAGCAGTCTACCTCCTGCTTTGGTACTTCTTGTTGCAAGTTCATTTGTAACTAAATAGAAAGTAACATGAGGGGAAAAACACATTAAACCAAAGATTTTGTTTAAAAAGTAGGAAGGCTGCTTTTTTTTTTTTTCCTGAGCCGCTATAATTTTAAAATTATTTTACAAAATACCCCCTTAAAAGGGGACTAGCACACTCCAGGGCACGTAGTTGTAAAGATAAATCTGCACACTTCCCTGGTACTGCAGGCACTCACCCTTTGGCCTCATTTTTATGACTCTACACCCTGGAGTGGTGTTATTGCTTACAAACATACATATATACTTATGGGGGTATGTGCGATCTGCAGATGTTTTATTTATAAGTGGCAGGCCTATTGCATCACTGAAACATGCATTTACAAACAGATATAGGTTTTATGAAACCCTATTCCGTTGTTTTAATAGCCAAGCTATCCAGCCATAGCATAATAGTGCACAAGGTAAATGTGTCTACATCTCTAGAACCTGTTCCAAGTTTTCTCAGATGTGACTAACTGCAAGAATTTTCCAACCATCAAAAGTTAATAAAAAAAGACAAAATGAGGCGGTGTGAGCTTTTCCTGCGAGACACACAGCACCGCAAAGCAGAGGAGCTCCGATAAACTTTAAGGCCTCCTTTCACCAAGGTATTTAACTTGCCTAACTTCAAATGTAGATCTACTGAAGTTAATACCCTTAAAATTAGATTCACAGTTAAATACTTTCCTAACCAGGATCTAAATTGAGACTAGTCTGGATTGTGAGATACCTGCCCCAGGGCACCTTCGGAGATTAGCCTTTAACTAGAGAATAGCTGCAACAGAAACACTTGTTCATTCTACTCGCAGTTCACAGCGTGTAAGCAAGAAATGAGATGATGCGAACGTGCTCCTCTCCTTTTAAAATTATTCCTAGGTATTTAATGTGCGGGAAATAAATGACGACGATTTTACATAAGCCTCCAAGTTACAGGAAACACAGCATATAAAGAAAAGTAATGAAACGCTTAAATGAGAGTCAGAAGGGACCACAGCTCTTACCTACAATGTAAGCTACTGCAAAGATTTGTAATAATTGGTTAATATAGTATGTTTTTAGCTGCTTAAAACCAGTCAAAACAGCACTCCTGCACAGCCACAAGGGACCAGCTTGAGAGCAGGTACCTCACTATTGCCTTAGTGAAAAAACTTGCAGGCAAAAGCAGCGCTCTCTGAGCTCAGATTCCAACACTGAGAGCCCTTCCGCCGACACACCAACGCTACGTATTAACTCTGTCTCCTGCAGCCAACCTATTTTCACTTTACATGACCAGAAATGAAAACAGTGGCTCCTGCATTTCATTAAAAAAACGCTATTCTGACCACATGCTCTGTTCTCAGTCTTCAGATTTTGAAAGGTTAAGACTGGCAAATTATGACGGAGTGACCTACATTCAGCTGTAATCCCTGGACATGCGAACTGAAAAAAAAAAGTGTGCATCAAAATGGTTTTGATTGAAACTTGATGCTGGCTACAAAAGTTCTGCATGAACCTCCCCAAATCACAGGTGAAGCTTTGGCCACAATGAAGGTAACAGCGAAATCAACTTCTGTGGAATCAGAATTCCACCTTCAGTTTATGTTGCTTACTGTAAATATAGAATTGCTGCACAATCCAGAAAGAGTTTAGATTTACAATTTTACATCCTAAAAAATGCAGAAAAAAATCCCAAACTTCTATGGATACATGAATAAAAATATAAATACATATTGAGGGGCTCTAAAGTTTCACTTACCATTAAATCTTCAGGTGCTGGCCTCTCCTTTGGTTGTTTTTTCATGCTGTGTGTCATAAAAAAAAAAAGAGTTCACGTATAAACACAGCTCATTTATTCTACTTGCTTAAATATTGAAGATATCCTCTTTTAACACCGAATTTCAATGTATTTCTTAGTCTTCATCATGTGCCAGTGGAAGACAGGGCTCCCTAACAGGGCCAAAACATTAATGGGTTTCCTCTTTCACTCCCATCCCTCCCTTATAGGATGTGGTGGTCTACACTGTTTGTAACCATGAAAACGGTGTAAATACGGAGATCATCGAAAATCAGTCAGCTCAGAAGGCAGGCAAGTTGATTCTCATTTTGCTGGGGCTTATTACGTAGCTTGATGCAAAGTATTATATAAAACAGGTGGGAAATTTCACTCTAACACTAAACAGCTTCAGGAGAACGCGCAATACCCTGGGGTTTCTACCTTCATTTTTTCACATTTATTTCCATTACACTGCAGGGTGATAGTTCATTACGCAGCGTTAACCTGTTTATAAGATCATGTTTCTCATCCAAATAGTCCTAGTTTTCTGTGCAACAGGTGCAATTAGCCACTGAAGGCTGTGCTTAGCTGCATGAAGGAACACAATAACGTGGCACAGAGGTGACCATCAGGAGCTGCCTACTGACTAATTGGATTACATCCAAACAGCCAGTGTTCATGGCGTAATTGGCATAAAGTCATAAAGTCCGATGTGCCGTTCACTCGACGTCTCCAATACTTACTGGGAACCGATCGCTTCAATAATAGATGGGTTCTTGTTATTTGCTTTTTTCCCCCCAATTGTAGCGCTTCCCGCTAAAAAGTACAGCCCATGCCACACCACACCTAAACCACGACGCGATCCGTGCCGCGAATCGGAGGAGGTATTGACGATACCATTCACCTTCCCTACAAATAACTACGAGCACCTCAGATAAGGCGGGCGTTAGCGAGCCGCCTGCCCAGGAGGCTGGGAGCCGTTCTAATCTGACAGTCCAAAGTAGCTGCGTCCCCGGGGAAAACGAGGCTATTAGCCACCATCAGTTATGCTTCGGTTTGACATCTGTGGAAATTTTAACACAGGTTATCCCTCCCTCTGCCTCAATGAGATGTTTTTTCTCTTTTTTTTAGACAGCCTGCCATTCGTTTTTTTGCAAGGATAAAAAGTGCAGGACCCCAGCACCACCAGTTACTTGCGCGGCAGAATCCTCCAAACAGCGTCGCTCTTTGTAAACTGAAACTATTGAGAACAGAGGCCTACGTTACACGAACTTTAATTATTTAGTTGCTTTAATTAACCGATAATCAGCCTGCTTTTCCTGTCTCTGTTATTTGTTACACCCTCTCTCAGTCCTGAGAGGTACCTTCTCCTACATTTTCCAAACCCAACGTTATCAGGGGCTGTGGCACACGTCGGAGAACCCGACGGCACCGTGAATCCCGACCCCGAGCCCCGTGTGGGGCCGGGGGCTTCCAGGAGGACCGAGCCCAGGGGCAGGACAGCCCTTGGCTGGGCGGGGGCACACATCGAGGTGGCTTCACGTGATTTAGCGCAGCTCAGCATCCAGCCCCCAGAGCGTCCACCGAAGGGATGGACACTTCTCCCACCAAACACTTACGAAATCTGAGCTTGTGTCTTCTGCCATATGTACCCTTAATATTTTTTTTTCGCCCATTACATAAATGGATGCCTTTTTTTTTTTTTTGAGGTGGGGGGAGGGTTAAAAAAAAAAAAGGTTTTCCCTTTCACTTTGTTCCTTTAGGATAGCTTACCCTCAAGATTTTTATTCTACTCACTCAAGAATGGTATTCTCTATTCTACAAACTCCTCCTCTCCCCAATTCTCCTTTAATTGAAAAGGTTTTTCAATGAACTAGCCAGTTTTAAGGGAAGAAAAAATACCCAGTGGTGTGTTTTAAAATACGACTCTCAGTAAAAATTACTTACTGAAAAGCCAATGAATTAATCAAGGCTGCTCGCCTTTCTAAATATTGAGGCAATTTTATAAGTAATATTTTTAAGAGCCCCGAATAACGATATTACACACGTGAGTCTTTGTGGCCTTCTTTACCCCCAGACGAATTCTTACGAGTCTCAACACATGAGACTGCACCCACGTTCAGGCCAGGTTTATTAAAAGAGAAAAGAAAAGAAAAAAAAAAAAAAGCAACACAACCCAAACCATACCCCCTTGTAAGTACTTTTACGACCCTTTGTGTAAATAACGTTTACATAATTTAAACAGTTTGCTTAGCTTTGCTGCCCCATCTGCCCAAGGCCCCCAAGTCCCTCTTCTCTCGGAAAGGATGCAAGGGAAGCCATAAGGTCTCGCCGAGCTGCGGAGTTAATGGCATGTATCATTTACATCGAGGGCATGGCATGTTTGCAAACCGAGCTTACCATTGAGTGATGAAGTGTACAAATGGCTCCGAGAACTCCCCGGCTGGAAGGACGGGCGATTCCTGGGATTGGATTGAAACAAGAAGCGGAGTCAGAAGGAGAGAAGATTTTTTTTTTTTTAATTTTTTTTTTTTTTTGAAAAGGAGAGTAATATAACACGGAGCGCAAAACAAAAAGGAAAAAAAAAAACGAACACAAGGATGCGACAAAGCCTCCTTTTCACACAGAGAATCTGAGGGAGAAAGGTACAAATTCTTCTGAGAATGTGTTATAAAACACTGAATTTCAACTAATGAGTATTACACAATGGGTAAAAACATGTGGAAAGACACTGAGGGGAGGTGAAAAAAGGACAATGATAGCCACAGGGTAAAAAGGAAGGTAGGGAA